TTTTTTTCTTTTGTAAAAAAATGTCATTTTGGGAGTGCCTATCTGGGTCAGTCAGTAGAGCATGAGACTCTTGATCTCAGGGTTGTAAGTTTGAGTCCCACGTTATGTGTAGAGATTAAAAATAAAATATTTTTTTAAATGTTTTTTTTTTTGAGAGAGAGAGAGAGAGAGAGAGAGAGAGAGAGAAAGAGAGAGACTGCATATGGGGGAGGGGCAGAAAGGAGGACAGAGAATCCAAAGCGGGCCCTGTGCTGCTGACAGCAGAGAGCCCGGTGCAGTGGCTCAAACTCGAACCATGAGATCATGACCTGAGCCAAAGCTGGACATCTAACTGACTGAACCACCAGATACCCCAAGAATAAAATCTTAAGAAGAAAAAAAGGTATTTGAAAAAGAAACATTATTCTTATTCAAACTCTAATCTACAGGTACACCTTAAGAAAAGTTGATATATGGAAAATGCATATTTTAAAAGATAAAATTAGGGACTTAAGAATTTAGTTATTTCTCCAATGTTATTTAAAATATGATTTGATTATTGCTTCTCGGCCTTTGGCTAAGATCAAGTGTAAATATGATTTAATTCACAAAATTTCAGGATACTTTGTGTGTTGGACATATCAGCGAGGTGTTTCAAATTCTAGATTATGGTTGAGTTATATACAAATGGTATTTCTTCCCCCTCATCTTTACTTCACCTCCCACATTACCTACAGCAAAAATTAAGCAAATTTTGGAGCACCTGGGTGGCTCAGTCAGTTAAGTGTGTGATTCTTGATTTCAGCTCAGGTCATGATCTCACAGTTTGTGAGATCGAGCCCCACATTGGACTCCACACTGACAGCACAGAGGTTGCTTGGGATCCTCTCTCTCTGCCCCTTCCCTGCTCACTCACTGCCTTTCTCTCTCTCAAAGACAAATAAATAAATATTACAATTAAGTAAATTTCTTCCTCACTTCTGTCAACAGTGGTAATATGAAATTTCTCACTGTTCTTTTTTACATGAAACATAATTATTTTAAAACTTTAGTGGTAGAACTAATTTTTTTTAAGTTTTATTTAAGTAATCTCTATACCCAATGTAGGGCTCAAACTCACAGCCCCGAGATCAAGTCACATGCTCTTCCAATTGAGCCAGCCAGGAACCCCAGAACTACACTACATTTTATTTGTATAAAAGTAGTTTCCTCTTAAAGATTCATAGCATGCCCCTGTATTCATTTATGCAGTTTAGTTGTAAATGGTCCAAGTTAAATGTGAGATGTCAGCAAATGCATTATGTTGTGAACTGTCAACTGTAATAACTTTTCACATTACGATATATAGATTTGTTTTGTCTCAAAATAGAAACAAAACTTACAAACTTTTAACGTTAAGATAAAAATCTTTATCTTAGGGTGCCTGCATGACTCAGTTAAGCATCTGACTTTGGTTCAGGTCATGGTCTCGAGGCTTGTGAGTTTGAGCCCCCATGTTGGGCTCTCTGCTATCAGCACAGAGTCTGATTTTGGATCTTCTGTCTCCCTCTCTCTCTGCCCCTCCCCGTGCTTTTGCTCTGTCTCTCAAAAATACACATTAAAAAAAAAAAATCTTAATCTTGGGCATCTGGGTGGCTCAGCTGGTTGAGCATCTGACTTCAGCTCAGGCCTTGATCTTGTGGTTTGTGAGTTCGAGCCCACATTGGGCTCTGTGCTGACAGCTCAGAGCCTGGAGTCTGCTTCAGATTCTGTGTCTCCCTCTCTCTCTCTGCCCCTCCCTTGCTCACACACACACACACACACACACACACACACACAACACACTCTCTCTCTCTCCCAAAAATAAACATTAAAAAAAATTTTTTTTTAATCTCAGTCTTAACTGTACAAAACATTTATACAATTCCCAAGCACTACTGCATGTCATTTGCAAATATTTAGTATCGAAACTACCTACAATTAGAAATACTAAATTTCGGAAAGGCTAAATTATGACAATTCTTTGTGTTTTGTGCAGAACTTCAGTTTATAATGTATTTTCACATCTATCATTTCACATGATCATCAGAGCTCTGGGTGGCAGCTGTTATTTCCCTAGTGTTGCAGATGAGGAGCCTGAGGCTCAAAGAAGTTAATTTGCCCAAGTTCACAGCTGACAAGTTCCAGGACAGAACGTGCACCTAGGCTTTCTGATTCCAGGCCAAAGGTTATTCTCATGCTATCTTTTTTTTTTTATTTAAAAAAAAAAATTTTTTTTTTCAACGTTTATTTATTTTTGGGACAGAGAGAGACAGGGCATGAACGGGGGAGGAGGGGCAGAGAGACAGGGAGACACAGAATCGGAAACAGGCTCCAGGCTCTGAGCCATCAGCCCAG